TTTTTTTTCTGAAGCTCGGCCGATAGCACAATAGATTTCATTCATTGTGCGTTACTGGGGTACTGATTGGGACCAGCAAAGGAGAAAGCATAGGCCTGGAATTTCTTTACAACGTGCAATTCACTACCTAGGCAGGTGTAGAGCACTCAAAAGTGATTTTGCCGTGGTCTAGCTTGAATGGCATATCTAATAAGCTGCGTACTTGAGCCAAACGCCGATTGTTGTGATCATCTTGAATAAAGGCACGATCAGTGTCTTGATAAGGACCAACTGCCGGTTGAATATCAGACCTACTTACAGATCCGCGAATTGGACTGGACCTATGTACACGCTATAGCTGATACCGGCTCATATGGTAAGTGTCTGTAGTTTCGAAGAATCAAGGTCAGCGGAACGATCTTGATCCCAAAGATCACCCAAATCATCTTTGTTTAAGGTTTCGCTGTTATTACCTGAGGCCTTCCCCTGATTTCTTAGTTTCCACTCCACGCTAGATTGTTCTGTTGTCTGGTTTACTGAAGAGTTTGATGTACTAATGAATTTTATATATTCTGTTCGTAAATGTAATTTTATTTAATTTATAGGCTACTGTGCACGGTGATAATTTATTTATTTATTTGAATACACCCAAGTGTGTGCCATACAATGTAAAAGCAGAACTCTGAGGCCGTTCCTGTCAACAAAAACCAAAAGAAAATAATTGTTTATCTACGCGCAATAAATAACAATAATAGATTCATTTCCATTTTAATAACACATTCCATCGCAGGTGAACGAGGCATGGATTCATTTCGAGCAGCTGCTACTGATTTGGGGATATGTATTGACGGAGATGTACATAAGATCGGCCGACGATGGACGGATAAAAACTTTCGGTAAGGCATGAACTAGTCTCGGGGTAGTTGATTAATAGAAATCTTGAAAGGAGACCCAGTTTTTCAAGAAATACATGACCCCTTCCATTTGTCGAATATTTCCCAAGGAGGGTCGTGAAACCGCAACCCCTCCTCCTTCTGCAAGGGCAACAGGGAGAAGTTGCTGGGAAAAACTGGGGATTGGGAAACACGGTGTGCACTGATGACCATTCTTCGGGATATCCAGGATTAAAGATTGTCCCAAGTGATTGAACTGGCTTGAACATGAGTATATGTGCGGGGGCTAATTTGTGTATCTACCCTTTTTTTTACTCTGTGTGAGTGGGTATTAGGCATTCCTGAGTAATGTTAGCCTTGAAATTGACCCATTCCAAAAGTAGCAACCACCAAAAATACGGTAATGTAGAGTCCGTTCATTTTAAAATGATTTCACAACCCATTTCAGTGACCTGTTGATACATATGCATCGAACTCGGAAAGCTCGTGGTGTGGTGATGTTCGTTGATGAAGACAATCTCAAACGACTACTTCACACCCTTGACAAGCTGATCAAGGACGGTCACACCGAACTCGACCGACATTTTTGGTAAGGACTCCTCTGAATTCTCTTTTTTTCGACGAGCTTTGGCCCTTGGAATCGCCTTCGATCAGGCTTTCAGCCGTATCCGTAGCCATCGTTATCACGTGCTACATCAGCTGAACGTTTTCTATCCCCAATTTTTATTTACAACTGATCCAAGTGTATCCAGTTTTTCAGAATAAGTTCTTTTGCTTTCTTTCTCGAAACCCTCAGAAGGTCGGCTAAAATACTGATGAAATGCATTTACTCTTGCCGACTTCCTTTGAACTCTTTCAGCTCAAATTTCACAATTTCACAAGTGTCATTCGATTATACGAGCTCACCCATAGACACTGAAATTTGGATGAAAGTTTTCCCACGGAAAAAACAAACCAACCCGTTCATGAGTGTCCCCTAAGTTGGGTGAACTATATATAGACGATAGAACTGCCGAACTTTTTTGACTTCTTCGGATATCTCTGGAAGTGTGAATAGGGGGCTGTTTCTAGGGGGGTTTTCAATAAAAACTGGTGTTCATTTCTGTCAAAACCCTTTTGACTGAATATTACCGTTGGCCTAAGGCGTAAACCTGTTGAAGGTGTCATACACCCTTAGAAAGCACACCGTCGCCTGAAAGAAAAGGTCTGCGTCGAAATCTTAACTCCTTGGATCGTCTTTTTCGAATAACACAACTTATCGTATTGGGATACTACTTTATATTTTTACCTATGCCAGATCTGCATAAAAACGTAATTGCAGTCGTTAAGAGCCTCTGCCTGTAGAGGTTTGAATTTGAAGTTCGTGAAGATAAGGGAACTTGCGATCGACGAGGTTAAGGGAGACTCGGTATTTACTAAAACTCGCCTAGGGAAGAATCTTCTTGTTACCTCAATGGCATTGATTCCCACATAAGACTCCCACGACGATTGTTGCAGACAAATAGAAAAAATGTTCCTCGTCGAAGTATCGTTCATCTGTTTACCTATTATTTGTGTAGTAAGCAGGCACATATATACATATATAGTCTTCTAATGGAAATCTTGAACTACCAGTAGATAAAACATACTTAAAATGCTTCTGTGTCGTTGCCAGTGATGATTGATATCACTTTTTTTAGGTTTGTCGCCAGTGATTCGTGGGGAATCAAACAATCCGTCGTGCTCGGCTTGGAACATCTACTTGCAGGATCGATTACTATTGCACCGCATGTTCGAGAAGAGAAAGGTGTGTAGATCCTCGGATATTGCATATTTCTTGTGCGTAAATTTTATAATTATCTTTATAATCCATATTATCATACTTTATGATTATATTCCATACAATTTTGAAAATTGAAATTGATTTTATAAAATAAGACAGTACGAAAGGAAGGAGTATTGCAGCCATGGAGAAGCTCCATTGTTACTCCTATCTGTTTCAAAAACTCCATAGGAAGACAATCTAAATAAGAACCCAAAGGTTCTTAGCTTCTACCGAGTCATAGTATCGTCTCCTCGTTTCGTTTCCTGTGATGATTGCCATGGCTTAGTTGATGTAGTAGCTGCTACCCTCTAGATTATCTAAGTCAATAACCAGGTCGTTCTACCGTAGTCTTGCCTAAATAAGTGGTAAAGGATAAAACCTTTGGGCGTTCATCGACCTCATCTGAGGCATATGCCAAGCATTCGATTTTCATCCAGGATCGCAGAAGCGTACTGAATGTGTATGTGGCCTACACAATAACTTGCGGGGGCCAGCTGATGAACAAGTCACTGTTCTTATCCTCCCAGACGAGCCTAGTACCCATAAATCGACCCCGGAGAGATGGAAGGCTCGGTTGGCTAATGCGGACATCGAACCGGAATTTGAACTCTTGACCATGTATGTGTGATAGTGCGCCACTTGCCACTGTAGCACCTCCGACCTTTTGAATGAATAGATTGCATTCATTAAACATTGAAGGACAGCGATACAAACTCACTCTACAATTTCAAGTCTCTAGAGTTCTGTTTACGTAATTAACTGTATTTTTTCAGGCTACATCACATTTTTTCGCAAGCTTTCACCGGCTGGTTTCACGTTTCTCGAAGAATACTGGGAATATCTGGGTTGTGCTAAGAACTACGAGCTGAAGTACTTTGGAGAATGTTTCGATTATATCAACTACACATTAAAGCAGGTGGGTTTGTACTCTCATTAGACGGGATTTCTCGGACATTCCCGCTAAATCAGGAATCCTACGTGCCATTTGTCATCGATGCTGTACGTGTACTGGCCAGGGCAATATCAAAGTATATTTCGGTGAGAAAAAATGACGTCTAGCAATTTCCACGAAGGAAGGGGTTTGAAGTTAAGGAGTGATTTTCTAGGACGACTGTGGTCAAAAAGAATTCCATCGCTGTGATCTTTCAACGTCACGGTTCAAAGGTGATCGCTTACAGAAGTACTACAGGAATGTATCTCTCAGTGGTATGTTCTAATTCCGGTAGTTCCAAGATTCGGGCAAAACACCTGTCTCCTTTCAAAGTGCCATTGTTTCCGAATATCCTTCGGATTCCTTACTTTCATTGCAATGTTCGCCCATTCAAAGACTGATCTTACAGCCCGATGTTAGAGATCTTAGAGATCTCCTCCAATCTTCCTCAATGACCCCATCTTCGATTACCAGATCGTGTGCTCCCTATTTTTTCCCCTTCATTCCATCCTATTCTACGATTCTTCATCTAATACAGGTTTCCCCTTTTTTACTTTCTTTACTTGTACTGCTAGCGGAGGTGGTGTAGTGGCAAGTGGCGCATTATCACACACACATGGTCACGGATTCAAACCCGGGTCGATGTCCGCATAGGCCAACTAAGCCTTCCATCCCTCCGGGTTCGGCTAATTGGTACCAGACTCATCTGGGAGGTAAAAACACTGACTTATTCATCGGCTCGCCAGTGCAAGTCGTTGTATAGGTCACATACGCATTCAACACGCCACCACGATTCATGGAGATCGAATGCACTCCTGGGCACTTCTCTCGAACTGGTTAGCACCCCAAGACTTAATCCTTCGGATTCATTATCTCGGTTAAGTCCTACTGCTTTTTCTTCGGCCTCTACCCAAGTATTTTAATCTACTGCTCCTGACTTACATACTCTTACCGGGAACATGACCGTATTCTCTACATAGCCGCGGAGTTACTCGCTGTCCAGCCCTCCTGTTTGATGATGCCATCTCAAAAACCATCTCAAGAAATTGATCCTAGGTCCCATATTCGCCTTAGTCAATCTTACTGTTTACAGAAAACGAGTCACCTTTGATAGACGCGAATGGCGATGGAATTGGACGCTATGATGTTTTCCAACTTGACACTAAAGGAGTCTACCACAAGGTGAGGAAGTCATGGCTGACTGAACCATGCAAGCAAAGTTAGAGGAACAGCCTAAATCGTAAATTATCCAAGGGAGGAAGGATAACCTCATATCCTTTGAGAACTTGGATCAAAGGCATTATTAGCGATTATTGAAATTAGCCCCTTCACTCTTTCCTTCAACGACCTTTGCATATTGCTTTTCATCGGAATTGAATGGACCAATTCCTTGGTATGAGATTTTATAATTGCCCAGTTTGAGAATTTCCTCAATCCTTCGCATATTGCCATTCATGAGACGTGAATGGGCCATGTTTTGTGGTATGGAATTTGATGATTGCCTGAATGGAGAACCCTTTTAATTCGATTCCCATCTTGAAAAAGTAAATTCACCCATGGGGAAGGAGCAGTGCCAAATTTCGATGTCAAGAATTCTCCATTTGGAGAACTACAAAGTGTGATGAATACATCCCATACGGGAAGTCATCTTTAAACTTCAGGTAGGCAAGTGGCGGTCTTCTGAGGACTCGTTCGAGGTGCGTGTTGAACAAGTTCGACGCGGTTTTCGTCTACCACCAGGTGTCAGCCCCTATTCCGTCTGCTCAGTGGATTGCCCACGTGGACATTATCGGTATGAAATTACAGTACACCCAGATTTCTGCTCCATAGTGGAAGCTCCCAGAGGGAGTAGCGACCCATGTTCAATCCTTTTTCAGAGCCTATCAAGATCAAACCTGCTGTTGGGCTTGTATTCCATGTGACACAGCTACCAGTATTATCATCAATGTAACAAGGTCAGGAAAATCTAAAAAAGCTTCTTATGCCTTCAATCAATTATTGATCGCCTGCTATTCGATAGACTAATAATTGTTTAAGATGCGATATGTGTCCCGAAGGAGAAGT